TATTTTCAAAGTGTAAATAAAGCCTACTTGACCAGTAGAGCAGAATGGCAAGCAGTGTAGCAAAGGGGCACACTCTGCTTCTTCCAAGCCTGTTCTGCAAGGTGCCTAGAGAAGCACTTGTGCAGATGCATACTCCAGAGTTTGATCTGCAGTGACAGAAATGCATTCAAAGATGGAAGTAACTCACAGACTAAAGACCTTTCCTCTGAAGAACATGTTCCTTGCGCATGCACCATACTCTGCCACACTTTCTTTCCTCACACCATAACATCTCTCCCCCCTCCAAGAGACTGCTAAAAATCATTACACAAGTAGAAAAGGCACATGAGTGCACTTCATGGTACTCGTCTTACAAAATTATTCCCTAAAAAAACTTCCATTAGGAAAACATTAGTACTGCCAAGTCAAGCATACAGAACTGAAAAGAAGCCACAATTAAACTTTTCTGTGCAACCTTAATTTGCTCCTTCCTCACTCCTTGCTGTCAGCACTTAGCAGCAGATCCCAATAGGTCAGCAACCTTCAGGTGCTGACCAACATATTCTTCATTCCACCCCAGTGCAGGACTCCGGTGACCTACCACAGTTTTACACTGAGACAGGCCAGGTTAATTTTTTTCAGCAAACAAAGGAGATCCTACACACAGGAGCTGGTTATGAACGGTTTACCAGCACAGGAATGAAACTGTGTCAGGGATAAAAAAACTCCACACACACCACACCACCACCCCCAAACAAACAAACACCAAAACCAGGAAGGAAATTGGAGATATTCACAAGTGACCACAAGGCTCTTTCTCACAGGTACTTCACAGTTGATCGTCCTTGGTTGATCTCCAAGACACAAGCAAGTATTTTTGGGACAGCATCAGGGCACTGTTTCACACTCCTCCCTCTCCCAGGGAAGAGCCACAAGGGAAGCAAGATTCTGAAATATTCCTGCCTTCAAGAAAGTTACAGGCAAAACTCTGCATTCTTCTTCCAAGCTCTGCTATGTTCTTCCCTTTCTGAAGCTGTCTCACTGAAGTATGGTATAAAAAACAAAACACGATTCTTGTTTACTGGCTGATTAGAACTACTCATAAATCTTATCTGTGTTTCAGGACTGCTCTTAATTTTTTCTTCTTCTTGACACAGGTTTAATTATTTCAGTCTTCTGAAACGGGTCACATACATCTGTCCTCTTGGTTATGTTCCTTTCCATTTTCTCAGTTCAATGAAATGGCATAAAACTTTGGAAATAAGTCACACTGAACACAGACCTATCTGTGAATCACAAAACCTACCTAGCAAATCAAAACTATTAGATGCTCGCTTCCCACAGCCAAACAGGAAGTCTGACAAAACAAAACAGAAAACCAGTCTGGTTTTACTTTGACCCACAACTGGAGCAGGAAAAGCAACCACCCTAGTCCAGCTGCACAAAACACTCACTACAGCAGCATGTGGTTACTGACATCCCAACTGAACCAGGTGTGTTCCTCCTCCCAGACCACAGCAAGGTAACACATGAATCACAGTTCAGATCCATTAACTGAAGAGAACAACCATCTTTTTGTGGAGGTAATCCAAAATGCAACAGAGATAAGCAGTTCCTATCACTGATTTGTTTAGATCCCCCAGCTGGTAACGCTTTTGAGCATGCTGTACACTTAGCTTCCATGGCCCAGCTGTACCTCAGATGTGGAGGGCCTCAAACTTCATTTTAAGCTTACAATGAAAATGAGCTACATTTCCATAGCACTATCAGAATGCAAATGAGTTATGTATTTTGTGCCGAACAAAATCATTGCATCTCAGCAGATCTATTGATGGACTGATATGGTTCATAAAGACTCTGGTCCTCTCTCATCCATATTAAAATAAGGATAATTAAGCCACAAAAAAGTATGATGTTCAAACAGCAAGAAATACAACATCTGCAAAAAGAATTTCAAAGTTTAGATCTAAGCACTCTCCAGAAGCCAGCAAATCAGGACTAGCTGAGCTCAAGGGACTCGCACTCAGGACATCCTCCATCCAAACTAACCAGTCAACACCTCTTATGGATGCTTAACTGCGGTCAACATTCAAGCTTACATCTATTACATTACATGCCTATGAAAGCAGATGAACCATTAAGGTAAAGCTTTAACTCCCAATTTCCTCTCCTTAAAAACAGGCACATGGTCCCCCCTGCCCTAATTTTTTTTACAAATGAAATATTTACAACACTATAATAGAATAGTAAGCAACTGGTTCCTTGGTACCCAGCATTAGCACAACCAGTTGCAGCGTAGTTCAGTTAAACTTCGTTAAATATCAGGCTTACTCCTAGCCACTTAAACAGCTTTTATCACAACAAGGCATTGTTTAAAAGCAAACTAACGAACTTGGTCATCCCAATTCATACAAACATATATTTTCACAAGAACAGAGAGAAAAAAGTGACTATAATGATGCCACTTCTCACCAAAATACATATCTATATGTGTGTTAGGAAATGGTGCTTAAGTTTCTAGGTTGACAAATGAATTTATACATAAACGATCCTAGAAAATGCAACCAAATTTAAGCATCGACTGTACCAAAGATACAAGTAACACTGTAACAAGCCTCAACTGGAAGACAAAAACAAAATGTAAGGGAAGTAAATTTTATTTGGTGTTATCCTATTATATAACCAGCTTACATGAATGTCATTCATACAACCATTACAAAAACCATACCACTATGTACAAAATAATAACTTTCTCTCTAAAAATCCAACACTTTAATTCTCTTTTGGTTTGAAATAAGGATTTCAGAACACTGCAAAACAGCTTCATGAAATATATAGACAAGCATCCCAATCGTGCCTTTGATAGCACACCTGACACAACTGTAATCAAAAGAGAAATTTGGTCAAGCTCAATCTCAGCTTTGTCCCTGAGTTTGGCAGAGTTTGCTGCTTTAGAAATAAAGCAATTAACAGCTTTCACATTAAGGATCACACAGATGAACAAGAAACCAGGAGACAGCTTCATAGATCTATACTTCCTGTCCCTCCTTGCAGTTTCCTGCCTCATAAAATATATCAAAACCAAATAAAACCACATAAAACCCAGCCAACCACCACTGAACTGCTTACAGATGAAGTTTAAGAGGAATGTATCCTTAATTTGCAAATACACAGTAATTAAGCCGCCTTAGTCTTCCTGATTCATATGAAATTCCACTCACGTGTTCAGATGCAAGAGAGCCTTACTCATAAGCCTTTCCAATATGAAATAAAATGAATTAGTTTAAAAATGTAACTTCTCTTTAAATGCATACAAAGCATTTATATTACGAAAGATTTATAAGACTAGAGAGCTCGCTATTTGAACAGTGAGATCTCACATCACCCTACTTATGATAACACTAGCAGAAGTAATACCACTGCACAGCTGGGATCCTAACACTAGACAAGGCAGCAGGATTTCAAGCTCATTTTATACAAGTTCTTCAATCTCCAAAGCACTTGAAGTGAGGGCTACACAAAATCTCTCACTCCACGTAATTATTAAAATGCATTGTACAGATTGAGATATTCCCAAAGTCAAGTCCCCAAGTCATGCAGAAAAAGACAGATCCTAAAAGGAGTTCAGAAGTTCAACTGTCTTGGGTTTTTTTCTATGGAATTGTAAACAAGTCAATAAAGGAAATAAACTGTATTCATCAACAATTTACGATACAGAAGTTTCAACCCTCTGCAATGGAGGGTTGTACTCCATAACAAACTACATACCTGACAAATGCAAGACAACTCAGAATATAAAAATTTAAAAAGGCAAAGAACTACCAAATTCATTTCATTGGACAGAATAAGACAAGAGTTTGTTTTGTTCTGACAGATTTCATAACAACTTCAGAATAATCAGCAAGTCTCTATCTAGTACCTTCCAGGTGTACAATGGAGACATCACCATTAGCTGAGGAAGTGCACCTTTCCTTCCACTATTGCATTTGGGCTTCTCTGTGGTAATTTGGCAAATCACCAAATCATATAAAGTATCTCTGGTGATATTCTCCAAGTAGAAATGATTTTAGAGTTTAGGAAATCAGAACGAAGACACCAATACCAGAAAGCAGATCACACTGGGAACTATTGGACCACAATGCTATTACTGTAAAGTGGCTTTTTAAGAGGTCTGAGCATCTGCAGAGTTGCTACAGAATTAAACTAAAAGCTTTCAACTGTACCTGTCCGAGCATACATTTTTTCATAGCTTGACAGTTTTTGGTCCATCCAAACACTGCAAAGGGAATGCTGATCATACCTGCCACTTGTACAGTCTGAAACTGGTAAATTCAGATTTTAGACCCACAATAAGATACACCAGTAGTAAATCTAACCCAGCAGCTTAACATCTGATTTTGCAACTTCAGAATGTCCAGATTTTCAACAATTAAAAAAAAAAATCAATACAAAGCTTAAGTTTGAACAAGGAACAAGACATGGGGAAAACTGGTTGTAACAAAAAGAAGATTTTTCTATCCAATAACGGAAGTTTCAATATGCAAAAATCTTTGAAATAAATTATTAAATATATTTATCATCCAATTCCACAGACAAGACAAAATTTTTATTGAGACAAATCTGTGCTGGCATTTCAAATCTCAGACAAACCAGAAAACAATGGAATAAAAGTAAGAAGTTTTATGATCAGCCTTCTGGAACTTCAGTATATGATTATACTTAACACCTTCTGTCAAACATTGCTCAAAACTCCTTTTCTCTTTCACCTATTTTTGACAAGTTAATCAACACCCTCATAAATAAATCTGCTGAATGAACTGATTTTCCACAGCAAGCATGGACACATGCTGTGTATTCCATTCATTTAGTTGTAAACATCAGAACTTCCTGCTCACTGCTTTACACTTCAGAACACCAACAACTCAATCTCTCTGCAGAATCCAGGACACATACTGATCTTATGGAAAAAATACAGCCCTTTACTGCAAGCATGTACAAGAACTGCTCTGCACATGAGCATTTCATGTTCCTTTCTTCATATACCGGGAGAGGAACTGGCTTCTGACAAAGTGGATCAGCTTGGTCTCTGTGCAGAACATAGTAACGATGGTTGTGGCAAAGCACAGAGCACCCATGCTGATGTGCACCAGCCTTGCCATCCAACCCTTATCGCAGCAGAAGAACACCTACAACAAAGGAAACAAGCAATTGCAGGAAAAACTAGTCAGCACAAGGTAGATTTACTATCTCAATAAAAAATAAGATCCAACGCTTCTCTTAACCATGCTAACATCAATCATCAAGCTGAGCACAGTTTTGCCACACACACTGATCCTCCAATAAATCACTTTTAGCAGCAACAACATTTGCCTCCTTAAGAAATTTCTGTCAGCAAAATATGAGCATTCAGTAGCTACCCGGTAAATGTGGACATTAACTATTACCTGGCCTGCAGAAATATGTTAATTTAGATATTAGGAAAACTCCGCTGGTGCTATCACACAAGTCTGTTACTTCGCAGCAAAGCATTAGGCTATTTTCTAGCAAAACTGGAAATTTCCCATTCCCAAATACAAACCTCTCCTTTCTAAAGCAGAACGCTTTTCAACTGGTCACATTTTTTGTACGCTGCATTGCTACCATCTCCCTAATAATTAGTCTGTGCAATTACTATCTTGTAATCTGACTAAATGTGATAAATGTGCTCTTAGCAATTACTGTTTCTGTTCGTTTTGATTGTTTTTCCTCTATTGCTTCATTATTACAGAATGTTTAATAACAGTTTCTCTGTGCTACAGCAAAACTTCAATTATTAAGAACTAAGGACATGGATTTATCCACAAACAGCAGAAATGTGTTAAATTTTATTATACTTGTCAGATACACCTTCTACAGGTGGCAGAGAATTTTGTATCAAAGAAGAAATGTTTTAATATTGTATCTTGCCTTGCCTGTAACAAAATCTTCCAGTTTATCCTCATAAGCCTTCTTTGCTAATGGTATTGCTCTGCCTGGGGTCACAAAAGTAATTTGACATTAATTTTCACAGTGAAAGCAAAATTCAAGAAAGATGCTTACCTCTGAGAAACCAGTGATCACTCCACTTATGATATAAATGAGCACCAAAAATGGGGAGGGAAGTAAGCCCATCAGAGGTCTGTAAGTGCTTTCTTTGAAGTAATCATAGATATAGTGGATGCTGTGAGCTATTCGAATACCCATGTTAAAGCAGTTGGCAAGAATAAAACCCACACTGCCATGCCAGTGAGTCAAGAAATAAGAGATGCACAGAAATGTGAAAGACAAGGCCAGCATAACAAAATTGTACCTGGGAGGGGGGAAAAGAATCAGTTTATCAATGTGTACAGTTACAGTAATGATTTATGAACTTTATCTTTGAAGAAATATGACAATTTATTTTCTAAAACAAGGAACTGAAATTCTCTTCCCATTTTCTAATGGGAAAAGATAAATTTGAGAACCAAGATGTTAATTAAAAAATTCACTGAAAGAATCATAGAATGGTTTGGGTTAGAAAGGACCTTAAGATCATCTAGTTCCAACCCCCCCTTCCATGAGCAGGGATACCTCGCACTAAAAGAATGGAAAATACATCAAACACATTAAACCAAGAAATAAATTATGTGAAGGAAATTCTGGTTTACTAAATCAGCTGTGTACCCATTTCAGAAAGTCAAATTTAGTAACAATGAGTAGTCATGTAAAAACTTGTGCACTTTTGCTATTTTATTTTAGGTATGTATTGAAGAAAATTCATGCTCAACAAGATGACACTTTATTTAGTTTCTGCTCTGAACAGTGGCTCTGAAACAAGTTCACACTTCAAAGAGGTCGTGAAAGCAGCACTGCTATGTCTAAAAAGATACTACTTAGACTGTTGGAAAGCAGACCTCATTGAAAGTAATTTGAAAAGTCTTGTAAAGGACAGCTACTCTGTAAGTGAAAAAAGCTTGATGGAAGCACTGGGAAGGCCACCAGGCTCCAAAGTCAATAACCAGGATGAACAGAATAAGGAACTAATCTGGGCTTGAAGGGGTCTAATGAGATTATCTAGTTCAACCTCCTACTAAAAGCAGATAAACCACTGAATTCAGACCCTCAACTGAGATAATTCAGAAGACTACCTGATACACAGGACCTGTACACAAAAACTTTAAACAGTTGCAAAATTTTGATGAGTTTTAACTGATTGTTCGTCTTAAAAACTGTAACTTCAAGCATGTATCTATAGAAAACAAGACTTTTAAATTACTTTCCCAGTTAAGCTAATTTATGAATCTCTATTCCTTAATTTCTGACCTTTTTACCCAAGCACTTAAACATTTGCTAAAGCTTCTACATCTAAATCTATGCAGACAACTAAATAGGAGTCAGTTTTCGGTGGAGTAGGCTATTTTTATGCTGGTTTCAAATACACCAATCTCTGTGTAAATTCACTACAAATAAATTTTTAAGAAGATCAGTGTTTATCAACAAATACAAGCATGTAAAAACCTAAGAAGAGCATGTTTGGTTGCCCATCTGTTGCACCTGGCTCTGGATACAAGGAACGTGGCTTAAAGCTTAAACATAGTCACTTCTTAAAGTGACTATGGAAAGAAGTTTGCTCTTTGGAAACAAAGCACTTCCAAGCACATAACCCACCAGAACAACTGCTCTGTTTACATAGTGAACTCCAAGCAGATTTATTACAAGAACATTCTGGGGACACTATTTCCCACCTGTCCACCTCTTCTTTACACATCAAAGCAAACGTAAAACATTCCGTTACTCCATTGACAGCAAGAAATAGGACATATAACGAGTAACATCGGAGGAGGTCTGGACCTAAGAAACACATTAGAATAGTAAGCAAATATTACTTCTTTTATAAAACCACTGGTTTTACACTCATTGATACTAAGAGATAAAAGTTGTAATGTTATCACAGACAATGGAAATTTTAATTCATTTGACCAAGTTTCCTTTCTGGGTAGTTCGACAAGAATACAGAACAAAAAACCAAATAAAATAACAAACACCCAAGAACCACAGTTATTATAGTAACAGAAAAGATCCATCAAAAAAAAGGATTTTATTAAGAGGGATTTCCTAATTAAAAATTAGTATTTATCATAACTCAAATCTTGCATTGTACAGAAATTTGTGGAAATTCCTGCAATAGTCATTCTGAGCTAATAAAAGCAATACCATGTGTGGTTTGAAAATAACAGTATTAAACAGAAAAGCTGTTCAATACATTCAAAACTGTGCTAGATGGAAAAAGATCTTCATATTTTTATGGGTCAGAAATAATTTGTAAATGATTTAAAAATCATTCATTCAGACCTTCAACTTTTGCTTGTACTTTAGAAATTCTAACAACGGAAAAAAATATCCCATGCTTTTTAACAGGTTAGTGTGTATCCATGAATATTCCTTCTTGATGGCAGCAATGTAGTTCTTATTATCAAGACTCCTCCTGTTTCAGTTTTAAAGAACAGCTGCCCAAACTATGAATACTTTGGTTCCAATTTGTGGTATGGGTTTCTGCAGGAAAGTAGAGCCCCAAACCTGATCACACTTATTTAGAGCTCCTCAGTATATTTTAGTTTAAAGTGACTACATATTAAAGGTGCTGCTATGAAGGCATGAGTTCTGGACTCAGACAAGCCAACTCACTGATTTCAGTAACAGGTTTACAGAAAAAAAATCTTATTTACCCAAGAAACCATAATAGCTGCAGTTTCTCTTTCTAAAGTGCAGTGCTTTTTTGCCAGCTCTATAAATCCTTACCTGTTCCAGAACTGAGCATTGAGCCTCCATAAATATCAAGAGCCAGCTGAGAATAGGCATAGCCAAAAACCGTGATGGTAAGGCCAGTCAGAAGCACAAGTTTCAACAGCGATTCTAATACATTTGCAGCCATAGCAACATCATCCTGAAAAAAATTGTCATCCATTACATGGATCAGAATCATCAGTTACTTTCACACAGAAGATCTACTCACAGAAAAAAGAAAAAAAAAAAAAAAAACCAAACCCGAACAGTTTACACTGTATATAAAGGTGTGAAACTTACCCTTTGTTACTGAATTATCCATACATGTAGCCTTAACTGTATTTATTATTCCATTTTAGGTTTTACAGGTTACATATTCTCCACAAATATTAGCCATTAGCATGCCTGTTCAAGGAAACGTGCAAACAGCACTTGCAGATGCTTAACAGTAAATGGCAAAGAGCAGCACAGCACCTGCCCAAGGCCATGGTCTGAGTCAGCAGAGGGTCAGATTTTTATTGCCACATGAGACTACAGGATTTGCCACACCAGAACAAGTAACTTGTCAGTTCTACCACCTCATTACAAGAAGCACTCTTGTAGTTCTTGTAATATAATTTCACTACATAGAAGAAAAATTCTTAATTATTTTGCCAGTCATACATATCAGGTGCACTAGATATAAAATAAAAAATATATGTACACTTTTCTTAGCCAACCAATGCCCTATAGCATGGGATTTGTTCAGCTGCATGCTGATGTGCAACAAACAGGATTACTGCAAAGACTTGTCATAGCATCAGACAAAAGCCCAGGCCGACCTTAAAGACCGATGAAGAATTTCATACCTAAAGCATACACAAAAATTACTCTGTGGATCAAAGCTCTTGTTCATTTAACCATTGATACTCCACATAAAATTCAAAAGCTCACGACAATTGTTTTCTTCCCAAAATTGCATTCTCTGGAAGCATTACTGTTTAATACTGAACAGTTACCTATGTTTTCACATAAATATTTTCAGACAGCATTTATTTAATAGGAATAGTCTGCTTGCGTGGTTTAAATAATTGCTTAAGTATATCTGGAAATACAGGGTACAGTAGGGTTTACATCACACCCTTTGGAGCAGCTGATGTTAACATCATTGATAGTACAAGGCAGTACTATGCCATTGCATATCTTAATTTCCATTTCATTAGCTTTTTACCTATTTTCTTGGCTTTTTGGTCCAGCTTCACTTGACAGTTTTGTTCTCCACTTCAACTTTTCAATTTTAACAGCCTTTATACTCAAATTTAAACATAGTACTGTCAGTCACACTTCTGTGATGCAACTTATCTGTAACAAAAACCAAGCACTTAACATGTAATTAATCCAAAATTAAACATACCTGCTTCTGATCCTTTACATTCTTCCCTCTTTCTAACACTTTGGCAAAAAAGACATAAAAACTCTCCTCAATAGGCAAAAAGATAAACCTGGCCACCAGTGAACCGAGGTTATTCACGATATCATACACACCTTTAAAAAAAACGAATGAAAAAACAACATAGCAGCAACCTGTGATATTTTTAGACACATTTAAATTCCAATTCTTTAACGATTACATGAATTCTAATTTAACATTTCCATAGAACAAAGAGAAAACAAGTAGAATTTTGTGCAACATTAAAGCAGTGTTCCCTAAAAATTCTGTCACAGCAGCCACATCTCAAATTACAAGGCTTGCTCAGAGATGGCAAAGCTGGCACAAAGCATCAACCACAGAGATGTGAATCTAGTAACAGCACCAAGCCACATTTAAAATTCTTACTGTAGAGGAAGTTAAAAAATCCTGATGAATTTCACTGAACGAGGACACAAACATAAGGATTTACTGATACAGAAGAGAAAGATATCTAGTTTTAGGGTGAGGTTCTTCCTTCGTTTTACTTACACCGCAGTGGAAGAGCAAGCCTGCATGACATTTTAACAGCACTTCCATCCTCAGCGAAACACCACTACAAACCTGCTAAGACATCTACGTGTGCATGTGTATACACACAGACACAAGAGTACTGTCAATCTGAAGCATAAAAAGTCAGGCATACAGGTAAGTGCTTTACATATTCACAGCAAATAGGACATGGTTCTAGGTGATTTCACAGGACTTGGACCAATGCTCCTCAACGTTCTGAGAGTACAGACATTTTGTACTCATTGCTCTTTTAAAAACCCTTCAAGTAAGAGGCAGCTCAATTGTTCTGCAGGTGAGGAGGATCAGAAGCAGCCACAGTTACTGGTGGGAAGCACATCTACTCAGTATTTACGAGGAAACATACTACTGCCAGCAACTTAAAGTAATTCAAACTAGCCAAGCAACTTCTAACAGCGGGCCAGCAACTACAGCCTAATTTCCTTCTCTGAGCTGTAAAGACCTGAGCTGCCGCCAACTCAGTCATCTGAATAGCTACTGCCACACGTTACTCTGCAGCCACACTGATTTCCTGTACAGAACGTAATTCAATTTTGAGAAGCAATACTATAAACAATGACATTCTTGGTATTACAGCTAACGCAGATTCAAATGGAAGACAGAAAACAGCAGGAGAAGAGATTTACAAAAACCATAGCCAGCTATAACACATCAGATACTGATGATGCTGGGAGGGGGGTGTGTTGGTGGGTTATTTATTTTTGTCGGTGGTGTTTTTGGGGGGTTTTGAGGTTGGGTTTTTTTTTGGGGGGAGGGGGTGTTTTGGTTTGGGTTTTGGTTTGTTTTGTTGGTTTTTTTTAAGAAACAAGATAGATGATATCACACATCCAATTGGAAAGTTCTGATTAAAATACAAATAAAACTTAAATTCAGGATCTTAAATTAAATTCTTCTCTATGTCTGTATCAATCATTCTCTGACATGCATCTCAAAGTCACAAAGGCTTTGAAATCTTCCCAGATTTTTAAGTTATCTTCAAATACTTTGAGTCAATTTAAAACCACCTGAAGAGCACAAAGAAAATTGTGTCACTATCCCACAATACCATCACACTTACCCTGATCTCCAAAATTTAACACATTCAAAAATGTCATCACATAGCGTTCACCTGTAAGTTCAAAACAAAGAACTTAAGTATTGGGAAACATTTAGGAACTTGTTCTTGTTCAGGCACTTCCAGTATAAAGTATTCAAGAGACAAAGTCCAACAGGACAGCACCTAGTTCACAATACCCTCAAAAACTTCATTCAGGTTGGTAACATCTGCTGCCGAGAACTTCTGAAAGTTACATGCCCGCTCCTGCTACTCCCCACCTCCAGCTTTCTCAAGCTTTATGTCACTTTGATCAATAGTATTCACTGTCCCTTCTTCATCACTACTATAGATCAAGCCTCACCCTCTGTCAAAATCTGTTTCAAGAAGGACTGTTTGAAGAAACTCCATGTCAGCCGTGCTTCCTTCCAGTTAACAAAACTCTGCAAAAAAAGTACTGAAATGAAACATGTACTGAAACATGATTGAAACAGAAAACAGAAAGCCAGAACCACACTGTAGGCTAGCTCTATCTATACTGATGAGGAGAACCCACAGTGTCAGTTACTAACAACTCATCTAAAATATTGCTAAATTTAAGCACCAACATCACTCTGATGTGGCAAACACTTGCTGGAAATCACTGTTGTTGCAGATAAATTACCCAAACAAGCTTTCTACAGAAAATACTTACCAAAGTTAAGAGACAGGAAAAAAACCAACCCCACATGCATGCCAGTATAACTTTCACCTTCACTGTAGAGATCAATTGTTTACTGCTCTTCAAATTGTCCCTCAAGAACGACCTTTCTCTTTTCAATCTGCAAATCTTTTTCAAAATATCATCTTCCTCACTGCATCTTTTCATTCCTTTCTTTGCTTCATTTTCTTTTGAGACTTATTTGAGTATCTGTAGGATGCTGTGTAACACCGTGGGTTTTTTGTGGAAAAAATCAATGTACCAAACCCCGTGGTAAAATGATTCTGGTTTCCACCCTGCTCCTGATCCAGTGCGATACCTGGTCATTCCCCCCACACTGATTGTGTTTTATCTCCAGTTAACGGTTTGTGCAAAGCTACTAAAAGAGAAGTCAGCCACAAGCCCATAAGCACGAAGTTTTCTATCTTTTTTCTGACAAGGATTTTACTAATACAAACTATAAACAGAATTATGTATTTTTTTTTTCCTTTAATCAGTTATATCTTCAACAGTGCGAAGATATCCCCCAAATCACTCAACTCCACTATCTCCAACTAATTTTCAAAGCTTTCTCAAGACAGACTTCAAACTGTGCAACCTACCTCATCTTCCACCAAGTTAGGCAACAGAGCTTTCATTCTAGCAACTGGAAATGACTTCTTTGTTGCTTCAGGAGATCCCAAAAACATCACAAAATAAATAACATAGCACAGTACCAGCACACTGGTATATAAAAGCTGGAAAGACACAGAAGGAGAGAAGAAAGAGTAATATAAACTTAACTTACAAATGTAGAAATGCAGGCTAGAATTACACATTAAGAGTTCCAAGGTCAGCGAGAAAAAAAAATGTATTAAGCAGTCCTCATTCCTGTCAACATTAAATTACACATAGACTTGAATTTAACACCTCTCAAGAATGCTGTTGATCTTTGTTTCTTTCTCTTTTTTTTTTTTTTCAACTTATAGGTTATCATAGTCCTTTAATAACTTTCATGTTCTATTCAGCATTTTTAGAATGATTATTTAAAGTCCAATTTAAAGCATTATTCACTCAGTCAAAAATCAAGTTGACAGAATAGCTACTGTCTACATCTGTTTCTTCATACAATCATAGCATCTTTTAGGTTGGAAACGGCCTTGAAAATCGAGTGCAATCATTAACCCAACACTGAAAAACACAGGAAACTTACCTGAGCCAAGGAAAAAATGTAGAGGCCCCACTGAGGATAAAGGACTACTAAAATAACTGTCAAAATGCATTTTGACACTACTGAAAGGCTTTCAGCAATCACCTTTAAGACAGAACAGAGAGAAGGGTTATTTTCTGCTAACTTGACCACACACACAAACTTAAATTACATTAATTTCACACACAAAAATTATGTAGGAATATGTAGGAAGACTTTCAAAGTCAGCATCACTTTATCACAGTTTCTGCTGAGTCAGCCATCTGAGATTGCAATTTCTGTGCAAATTTTCTTTTCTTGCATTTCACAATTCCTCCATTGCACTTTCCCAGTCCTTTTTATGCAACACAAGGTAGAAAATTTTGCTTGAGACAATCACGTTCTCAATTTGACAATTTCCTATCAACAATCAATTGAAATGTGAAATCATGGAAGATGTGTGCCTCTCCCTCCAATTAAAACTCGTGATTAAGTATTTGATGACCACTAAGGTGATAAGTTTCTAAATAAACCAACTTCCTTGCTTTAACACATACAAATTCATACCTGTTACAACTATGTTATACAGTACTAAACAGTATGCACAGGGTTGGTTTTTTTCCATATGCTTGAATACAGAAAGATTTAGCTCAGCAACATCTTCTTTTCAACAAAGATAATTACACACACACACATATACCCCATGTACTTTACTAACCTTAAGTCTCACAAACAAATGAGCTTGTGCTAAAACCCAGAATGGTTCTCCCAGAAGTTCAATAATTGCAGAAAGACCAAATGCTACTACACCAGCCTGATAATGAGGAACCACAGAAGGATCAGGTACTTCGAGCAAGTGTAGCCAGACTAAGCCCAAGCAAACAGACCAAAAAACACCAAGAGGGACTCTAAAAAGTTAATATAAAAACAAATCAATAGAAATGTTACTTTAGAGAAAAAAATAAATAAAAATAATAAAATTAGATTAAAATGTCACATATGGCCATAATTTTTTAACAGGCCCCGAGGAATAATTTCTATTGTTACTATACCAAGAATGCCTTTTTTCTGTGTGTGTCAGGAACACCTTTAAGGCACTGTTTGCAAGACACAAAATATTTTTCTGACTTGTCTATTTTCTACTCAAGAACCTAAAGTAAGGTCACCCACCTGCATTTCTCATTCCCTAGGGCCAAACAATTCTGATCCCTTATCAGCCTGCAGAATACTGTGGTTTTGATAGTCTGTTGTTACCAGGGGTTTGGCAGACAAGCTTTTTTGGGTCTTGCTGTAACAGGTAAAGATGCCACCACTCCAACTGCCTGTCACACCCTTCCAGATATTACTGGTTCTCCAGAAAGTGACAGTAGCATGATAAGAACATGCATGCCTGCACCTCAGGTATGCCAGTCCACAACGCTCTACTGTAGCTTAGAGCCACTGTGACTACTGACTAGCTGAAAAGCCAAGCTAGGCACAGCAGTGCAGGCATGTATCACCTTCTGTAGACACTGCTTCAGGAACACAAAGCTTCTGGCAGAATGCAGGAAATTTACATCATTGAGGCAGGATCTATTTGACCCTCCCATTATCAGATCCCTGAAGTATTTGACACCAAGCTCCTAAGATGTATTTCAGAACCTTCAAGAAAGTTAATCTTCATTTTAAGTTATGCTTCTCTATGAGTTAAAAAAGAAAAAGGTGTACACAGTCATTGTTAACTCCACTATTTAATGCCCACTTGAAAGCTGTCAAACAGCAGAAAACTGATTATAACACAACTGAGAAAACAGATCCAACACATTGAAAATATCAGTATTAAACCTATCCCTGAATGCGACAATCCCTCTTCTTTATAACTGTACGCAGATAACCATGCATGACCCCACAAAGTGTGATGACACTCTGCCTGCAGCTTCACACAGACTTTGAGCTATCCACTTTCTGCTATAAACAGCACTACAGTGTAAAGCAGAAGTCCTGCTTACTCCCTCCTGCTTAGTTCCAACTCACTCTTTCACCTTGTCACATCTCTTCCACCCAACACAAACACTGATGTTGCCCTGCCATTAAACCGTACCAGTGTTCAACAATTACTCCAGGGTAAGCGACAGAACAGCTCCTGGTAACAGTTTGGGTGACGCACTTTCCCATGCACTCCAAAAAGAGATTAAGTACATAAATGCTAAAGAAACAGACTTAACCAGCTTCCTGCATCAGTCCTGAAACATGTGTGAGGCTACTAAATGCTCAATGCTGAAATAATCACCTCAGTAAATAAACACTTGCTCTCGTTCTGTGAGCTTTCAGACAAGAACTAGAAATTAATTCCAAAGGAGTAAATTTTTAAAGGTATCTTACGTCAGCCACAACAGATTAATCGTTTTGGTCCAGTTTCTCTTGGTGCTTCCACTCAGACAAGCTCTGCGAAATGCCTCCCTGGCCAAGAAGACAACCGTTGAATACAGCAGAGTGAGCCTAACGGAGAAGAGGAAGTAAAACAAGGAGAGAAAACTACTTTACGCAGTGTTTCTGACATCCTTCAGGCAGTAACATCACTCTCAGTTTTCACACAGGACTGCCTCACAGACAAATCTAATGGGTATGCAAGAGAACATAGTGACAGGAACTAAGTTATCACTATACCTTAAAAAAATAAAAGAGCGAAAGTTATGTAGTTTTTCCTCAGCAAGTTAATGATTTAACATGGAAAACAGGCCAGCAGTACCTCTGAGGCTGAAAAAAGAACTCGGGAGACAGTCAGTGATCAAACACTGTAAAACACCCAACAGTAAATTAAACAGCGTTATGCAAAGCATTATTAGTGACCCTGCTCACGAGGTCCTGCACAAAAGCTGTCCCAGAGCCCCTCCGCAGACCCCCTCCGCTCCCGGGGAAGCCGCACGGTGCGGTCGCCGTGCGGGACACAGGCCTCCCGGCCGGGTGCTCTGCAGCCTCCTCCTCACCTCACATTGACCACGCCGATCAGCTCCCTGGAGAGGTAGCGCAGAGTGAACGCGTTCAGCGCGAAGGTGACCGCCCGGAACAGCACCTGTGGAGAAAGCCGCAC